CTATGATACATAATTTTCTCAAGTATTTACTTGTCTTGCATCATGCGCAAGGCCTCTCTGTTGTTTTCACCCCCTATGTGCAGTGTATCGGGCTGTGGGCCGGCACGTACCCAAAAAGGCCTGCCATCAGCTTTGTAATAGATGACTAAGGAATTTGTCAGCTATTTGTCAGCCGTGCTCTTTTAATATATTAGATTGTCCTCTTCCCAATTTCGTGGCAAGTGAACATTTCTCCTCCTGCACATTAATGGGGTAGTGGTAAACTGGGTCGTTGCCATATTGGCGCCATGTTCGACCTGCCAGGGGTTCGATTCCCTCTTAATTCAGTGTAATAATTCAAACGTTCATTTTGCTCAACTTTTTCATCCAGGACACATTTCACTACCCTCTGTCTACAGACCTGCTGCAGAAAACTTTGCGAATGGCGTAAATTACGGACCCGCTGTTAATATCAATGTAATCTAACAAATTAGACAAGATCTTCGATCCAACCTGTTCTAGATAGCTACGTTATCTTGACTTGGATAAAGATCTGTCCAACGTATAAGCCCCACTCATGATATATAACGACGTATCTCTATATCATAACAACTTGAGCTGACATTGATTCAATCGCCGTAGGAGGTGGCGCATAATAAGGCCTCCAACACCGATGATGGAGTTAAGAAGCTGTGTTCATCCCGTTGCTCAATCTGCCAACAGAGTTCCCGAGTCAGTCTCAACGGAAAAACCTCTGATATGACTACGTTATTTTATTTACTAGGCTTATCTACAAGTGCTATAAACTAAGGCAGAACGATCAAGAAAGCCTATACCATTTTAACTGTGGGTCATTCCAGAAGCCACCCTCGATTCGAGAATGAGGTGGAAAGGTCCAGAAACAGAAATCTAGAGGTGATGCCAACAGATAAGTGTCCGTCCCTTATATAGTGCCGGTGATCAACATGGAGATCTGGTTTGCGCGCCTAGGATCTGCATGGCGTCAGGTTTAGGCGCCCATTTTGCCTGTCCTGATGTGTTCTCAAAGCGCTTGATCGATCACGATCGACGCGTTGCGAGGGCTTTATTTGACACTTCCGGGAAATTTGAACATGGAACGGATCGGCATGAAATCAAACAATCAAGTGTCTACGGGCTAGAATCACTTCCGCGAGTCAGCTACATGTTACTGCTAAGCGGTACTTTGAATATTGATGAGTTGATCACCCTTCTCGCTCAGAGGTCCTTCATAGACCCGGAAGTTAGCAAATCCTGAGCGTCCCCCTCCTAATCCCGTTTCGCGTCATGATGACGATGAACTGCTGATGGACATACCCCGAGCTCCAGGGAACAAACAAAATCGAGTACCCAAAGCTGAGCTACCGAGCCTTCAGTGTCCAAAAATGTGTACCTGCTCTAATCTTGCTTCCTACGTCCACAATACTCGGTGTTATGTCATTTGCGGGGTAAAGCAGAGCACAAACCCCTTGCGGCCATTAAGTCCGCCTTTTGATGCTGGACAGCCAACTTTGCGGCCCATCTAAGGATATTCGTCTACAAGATAAAGTTCGCCTTCGATCAAAATTGAGAGGCACCAAGAATGATGCTGCTTGCGGTAACCCAAAGAATGGTTTATTCCTGCAAGTACGATGATCTCGGAACTATAGAATTTGATTGGTCAACTGCTAGATTCTGTAATTTGCTTACAGAGCTTACAGTTCAGCGGTACCTGGTACCTGCAGCGCAAGAAAGTGTAAGTAAGTTCGGGCGGCATATCCATCTTTCGCCAGGAAGCGCCCAATGCGACCCTTATTCCACGCCAAGCGCCTAATAGAAAACACGAGCAGCGGGATGTTCAGCCTCGTTCTATTAAACATCTTCGAAATCGTACGATATCCGTTATCTCTCTCACATAAATCCACTCCGGTCTCTTCTCCAAAAACAACCCATCAAGTTCAAACAAACAAAAAAGTTAATTTTTACCCCTCTGAGCTTGAGAAGCGCAAAGCCGGCAGTCGACGGTGACCGTTTGACTGATTGGAATGAGTAGGTTGCCTTCTTCAGCACCGGGGTGTGGCAGGCCTGGCAGGTACGCTACTCGCACTGTATTGACTTTCGTCTAACCTGGGTCTTGAGAATCCCACACCGACCAGGAAATCCTCAACATGAGGCTAATTTTCCGTCGGTCGTCGTGTCCGAAGCGCACTATTGGATGATTGTGAGAGATGGAGCAAGCAAGAGGAACGGGAGGCGTGGATAAAACGTGTACGTTCACAAACACCGGTCCGTCTTCCATTCAGTCAAGTACAAGCTGAAGAAAGACGCCGGTCCCTCGGTCAACATCGTGTTGGCTCTAGGCGGCTTCTTCTGTTGGACTAGCTCTTCGATAAATCTATGTAAAAGTGGAGAGAAATAGCTATTTGGAAACGAAACCCTACAAGGAGCTACGGATATTACAAAGCGTCTAACTGAAGCTCGTAGATGTGCAGAAAGTATGGTATGTAGAGAAACCTGCTGCAGGCCAAACCAACCGTACGATAACCTGCACGCGGGGGGCGTTGAATATCAAAAATTATTTGATCAAAATCATGATTAGCCCATGATTACGCTGTAAGGATTCGATTACCTACAGACACGGAAAACCACCCGAGAACCGATTAGGTTGAAAGCGTCTCCTTCAAGCCACCTGAAACGAAACGACAAGGTGCGTCGATACGGCACCTCCGACGTCGACAATCAAGTTTGGCGGGTTCTGATCAGTGAAATTGTATACCCAACCTCCGAGTCGTGAAAGCGCTGCAAGTCAAGATGTCGCTTTTGGAGTAATCCGATGTTCGAATTACATCCAACTCCAAGTAGCAGCTTGTCTCGATCGAGTCAAACGGGACAATTGCGCATTGCAGTTGGTCGTAACATCTCAACCAAGGCGATGATCAATAACATACGCTTACAGCAACTCATTCTAGCTTTGCATGTCGGCAGGCTGAGTGTCGATCATACTGTATCATGAGTATAATGCACCAGTCAATACAACTCGCGATAAAAGCCACCCTCCACCGGGCGTTGACACTGGCAAATGACACATCAAAATCAATCTCCTCGCCTTACCTGACCGAAACCTCCACCGCGGCGCTGTGGCGACAGGAGCAAACTACGGTCCACAAACTGACTAGATCGTTGAGACTAAATTCCGAAGGCGCTGCACCCATCTCCGCGTATCTAGCAACCAAAAGATGTAAACTGTCAAAAATCGTTATTATAACCACAAAAAGCAACTCTACCGATAATTTGTGATACAACTTTGACAACTTCAGGATAACAGAGATATGTCAGTCCGCGATTGCAAACGACGAGATAAAGTTGGAAACGTTACTACTTACATATAATATAAAATCATATATCGTTCAAATTTCCCCGAGCCATCAGGTTTATTTCAAAAGTGTTGACTTTACAGTCGATTGAACGGGTTTTAAGATAAAGGTGTGACCCTTCTCTTCGAAATCAATTCGTGATTAGTTGAGTTGGTGATAGACAGATAGCGAAGTGCAGGGTTGGAACGCCGCTGTGATCATCTACCGATGGAAGTCCCTCAGGAGATTTACTGGTTGACGTTGACGCGTTCATCATAATGCGGGGAAGCCCTATAAAGCTAGGTGCACTAAAGTGCGCTGCTTCCAACTGCTTTGTGGGTGCAACATCAAAGCCGTCAACCACATCTGCCAAGATCTACGAGGTCGTCCTACAATTGTGATATTTTGAACCCCTGTAGCGTCACTGCGGTTGGCACTGTACCTAGATACATCATCATCACGAATAACGAAAAGGAAATTGCCACCCAGCGGGTTGTACTTCGGTGATAGTGGATTTGTTCTGTTCACAAAGTCGACATTCACAATTGATTTCTGGCAATTACAGCTCGTCAGACCTAGGTACGAAGCGCAGAATAGGCCGAAGACATTCCATTCTCGTTGGGTCTGAGGAATTTCTGGGGTTGAGTGCCATATTGTCGAAGTCACATTCAAAATACTCTCCCTACAGCTGAAGTAGCAGGACCATGGCATACCGGTTACCCATCCCCTCAATATCGGTCAATTTGGGGATGCAAAAGCTGACGCAAGGTAAGGAAGCCCTTCAGAACGTCGGCGCGCCCTCCCCTTTTGGGATAGAACAAAGTGACAGAAACGTGTATTCGGAGGTCGTTTCTAATCAGAAAAAAGAAAGCAGATTAGCAAACAAACGCAACAAAAAGGAATAAGAATATAATTCAATCAATATAATCTTGGCATGCTGCTGTCACGGGAGAATTAACGGATAGTAATGCGAGCTCGTCATGATCTTCGGGCGTTGACTCTTGGGCTGAATCAACGAATGCAGAACATTTCTTCATGACCCAGTGGAGGATCCTATCGTAGTATCAATAGCATCAGGATCACAATCGCACTGGGATGGCAGTGGGGCGATTACCAGGATCTAGCAATTGGGCACTAGCTCCCAAGTCACCCAGATTCTACCAGTAGCATCTGGCAGTGGCATCTACCGATCAAACAGAAGCTTCTCGCAGGTGCACCACCGTAACGGTCTATGAACCGGCACGCAAAGATAAAGATAACCTTTCAGCATGGAAAAATTTCCTTAAGTCAAGATGGCTGTGCCAGATAAACACGAGGTGACGCAACTGATCTTCTGGTTTTTTCTAGCGTTAGTGACGACGATCGCGAAAAAGCGCATTGCGGTAGCTGCGACGTGTGGTGCCAAATGCTAGGTGTTGGGTGCTTGTGCTGGTCATTGACACGCCATCGTGAAACCATGTCCATTGGGAACGCATTACACGGTGCGGTGCGAAACCTTCAAAGGGGAGTGAGAGCTTTCGCTTTCCACGAAAATTCAATAGGCTTTTTTTGAGTGAGGGTGCGCGTGCAGAACACGTTCGAGGGCTGCCTCGGTTTCTCGGGGTTTCGGAAGTGTGGGGATGTCCTCCGCTGAGACTTTTCAGGATATGGTGGCGTTCCGAGCCCCTCAGGAAGGTCTCGGATGTGGTGCCTGTAGCCTTGTAATCTGAAGAACAAACCTAATGCAGAGACCCTCCAATCGGATTGATCGACTCGAGTCTGATGCAGGACAGACATGACAATATCAATGCTCGATGTCGAGAGAGACAAAGATACAGCTCACCTAGAATCGTTACGCGAGATTTAGAAGACAGCGAGCGAGGGCCTTGTTCTAGTAGTCGTCAGTTGTATTTATTTTTTATACGTTTGTTTTTGCGTATGTGTACTTTTACAAATGGTGGTAGAGCTCTAACTAACTACTTAAAAAAAACTGGGAAACATGCAAAGAGAGTCATGAA